ATTTCCGAGCCACAAAAGAGATCAGATCCAGTTTTATCCATGAAGCATAACTCGTCCAGCTGTCCCCATCCAGCGCTTCTAACATCCGGACAGGTAAAATAGATCAGGAACGCCCCACCACGCCCTGGTAATACGCTAAATAGCCTCCGGAACGCGACCAAGGCCGCAGTGACCGCCGCTGCCTGCTGGTGCTGAAGCAGGAAGGTACCTCCACGAGCTGGTGCACCCTGGCCGTACCTCACTCGTGCACCCTGGCCGTACCACTCGTGCACCCTGGCCGTATAACACAGTTACCACATATAATACGTCGATCAAGCTTTCAAATTATATCCGTATCCAAAATGGCAAATTATTGCTGTCAACAATGCCGGCTCACACCCTTCCGCCCCCAGCAGTGTGTCCACTCACAGGATGAGTGCCGCTGCCCAGATCTGTTACTTTGGCGTCCTGATATCCCTGCTCCGTGTCCTGATATCCCAGTCCCGTGTCCTGATATCCCAGCTCCGTGTCCTGATATCCCAGCTCCGTGTCCTGATATCCCAGCTGCCACAAGTCTTTTATGAGAGAGGGTCAAGAGGAACACTTTGTCCCCCTCTCTCAGGTCAGCAGCCAGGCTGTCCCAGTGACGAGAGAGTGACCAAGAGACATGTCCACCCTCCTCCACCCCTGTAGGCCACCAGGCGAAAGCCATAATTAGACCAACAATCTTGACCGCCACCTTGAAATGCTGCAGAACAAATCTTTCTCCACAAATGCCAAGGTAAGAACGAGGGAGTTATTAATACCAATTCAAGGTTTCAATACCGACCTGTGCCCACAAGCTTTCAGAATTATACATTGGCATTAAGAACAATATTTATATAGACGATAATGACGGGGATTATAATTTATGTTCTTATAAATCACTTACCTTCTAATGTAGAACAGCATCTCGTTAAGAGATCAGATCATTGTTATCTCCCAAGTGGGCATCAATCTCTTTGGTGTAGCATTCTTTAAATCTATGGAATAGCTGTGCCCATATATGCGATATTCAGCCATCACAAGCCTACGTTTTGACCCTTAAGGAAAATTAATTTGCCCAAGAAATCCATTTTTTCACTAACAATGATTATTTTTCCCTAAATTTTTAATATACTCCCCCCCTTCAACCCCCCCCTTCAACCCCCCCCTCTCAAGCTCACTTCCCTTCCTCTATTACTTTCTACCGGACGACATACTTCCCCCCAAGTATATTATTTTTCCATCAAACGACTATAATTCCCAGACGGGAAAAATGATCTTCACACAATAGTATTTTTGCCCACAATTGCACTTTCCCTTAAGCCTTAGTGTGTTATTTTGAACATTGTTCTCTTCTACAGTGTTCACCTCCAACAGTTCCCTCCAACACTGTTCCCTCCAACACTGTTCCCTCCAACACTGCTCCCTCCAACACTGTTCCCTCCAACACTGCTCCCTCCAACACTGTTCCCTCCAACACTGCTCCCTCCAACACTGTTCCCTCCAACACTGCTCCCTCCAACACTGTTCCCTCCAACACTATTCCCTCCAACACTGTTCCCTCCAACACTGTACCACCCACAAGATGGGTATGGGGTGCATAATAAATGAACTACACTAACTCCCTCCAACACTGCTTCCTCCAACACTGCTTCCTCCAACACTGTTCCCGCCAACACTGCTGCTTGTTGATCATTCATCTTTATCTCACGCATTTCCTGTATTCCTTGCATCAGTATATATATATATATATATATATATATATATATATATATATATATATATATATATATATATATATATATATATATATATATATATGTAATTATTCTTGTAGGTGTTGTTATGGCTAATACTCGTATAGTTACCATGATAACTCAAGATACCATGATAACTCAAGATAGCATGATAACTTTCTTAAGACGGAGTCAACAACCACGCTATTGTTACTAGCGTTTGTGTGGGAAAGTTTGGGCGAGTTTCGTTCACTTTGGCTGAGCAAGACGCCCCAGAAGCTCTCTCCAGCACACGTGTGAGCGAGGCGGGCTCTTACACCCACTTGGCACTCACTCACGGCAACGTTGACTTAACACCTCACACAATATATATATTTGTATGAAAACACTTTCACTGTTTGTAGAAAACATAGGTGTTTGTTCAGCTTTGTTTACTGTCTGACGATAATATTAGTAATGTCTATCCACTTTATATATATATATATATATATATATATATATATATATATATATATATATATATATATATATATATATATATATATATATATATGCTCTTGTTTTCAAGGACTTTTTATATATTGTTCACAGAATGTTTTCTCTGTGCTATGTTATTATTTTGTATGTTGATTATATAGTGCAGAGATTAGGGCTTGCATGGGCTGTCTGTAGTACATCTTGTGAGGTAGTACTAGGGGAGTACTCGAGGGGGGGGGTTAGGGGGGGGGCACTACACACACACACACCTCCACACTCTGAGGCGCCGACACCTCGACTGCCTGTATGTTGCCTTCAGACTCCAGTCACCACCACCACCACCCTCACAACCCGCCACCACCACTGGCACCACCACTGGCACCCACCACTGGCACCACCACTGGCATCACCACTGGCACCCACCACAGGCACTCACCACTGGCACCCACCACTGGCACCCACCACTGGCACTCACCACTGGCAACCACCACTGGCACCCACCACTGGCACCCACCACTGGCACCCACCACTGGCACCCACCACTGGCACCCACCACTGGCACCCACCACTGGCACCCACCACTGGCACCCACCACTGGCACCACCACCAAGGTGGTAACACCTAAAGATATCAAGGAAAGGCATCTTTTTATACAATAATTTAACAATATTACTTTGCAAAGAGATTATCACTTATTTTTCCAGAAAATAATTACATTATTTCTCGGAAGCAAAATAAATTGATCTCTTCCGACTTGGATATTTATCATAGAGGAGTATACAGTAGTTATTTATATATAAAGTCCATTCCATAAACACGCCAAACCCCTTGTTTATCAATGAAAAGCGGTTTACACACGACTTACAACTGATGACGTCCGAACACTTCCGGAACAAGTGCTTCACTCACGTCCTCTGTTCGAACCACAATTCTATAAATGCTTCACCCACTTACTACAAATACAAATAATCGCCAACAGAACCTAAACACCTAACTATACATAGAATTTTTATGACAGTGTCAGACCATGAAGGAAGAATTGAAACAGGAATTTCCTTAAGTACTTTCGTATTTAATAATACAGTTTCAGAAGGATGAAGATGTATTATTAAATACGAAAGTAGTTAAGGAAATTCCTGTTTCAATTCTTCCTTCGTGGTCTGACACTGTCACATTTTTCATCTCGAGTTAATGTCAGTGATTTACACACACATAAATTTGTTATGTATAATAATATTAATATATATATGAGAACAAACCAATTTTTAATACACAGAATGTTAAAATTGATGTTGTTGTTGTTGATTTAGGGGCGACGACGATTGTGGGATGGGATGCGCCCCGACGGACCCGTTAAGGGTGAATCCCGAAGCCCGGAGAGGTGGAACGCCAAGCCTAATCGCAAAACACGTGACGCCAATCACAGGAAACTAATATGTCATGCGGCAAAAAAACGCAGACAGGCAGATGATTGGGGAGTCTCAGGAGTCCCTCAGGGTGACAAGCACCGGCCCCGCCCCACACAGAGAACACTGGGTTTAAAATTGATGAATGTGTCTGGAGAGGACGGCCGCTGCTTTAACCAGCCTAGTGTGAGGACGGGTTGTACAAGTACAAATAATCGCCAACAGAACTTAAAACACCTAACCTAACCAATGCCTAAATATGCACACTATGCTAATATAAAACAATATTGCTTTATATTTGAGGAAATAACTATTTTGAATGAACGGCATGTTAAAATTGATGAATGCATCTTTGAAATCGACCGCGGGATGGAATGGACTTGGTCTAAAGACGGGTTGAGTTGTGAGTCTTGTGTAAAGTGTTTCTCATTCATACGAAGGGGTTCTGGCGGCCGGATTAACCAGCATTTGGCGCTGCTTAATGAAGACAATGTTGACGGAGCAGAACCTCTAGTCTAGACAACAGCTGATGGCCTGCCAAGTTTAGTCCTGTGATATTAATGTCTTAGTTTAGGCAACCAGTTATTTTATTATATGTAAACTTTGAGAATAGATGTTGGTATGAATATAGTAAGAGACTAAGAAATAATGTTTATGCCTTGTAAGTGGACAGAGAGGTTGTTAGAAATACAATTTGACAACACTGTGACGAGAGCCGGGAGACTCCAGACTCAAAGTTCTTTAAACATTAGTTGGTATTTAGATTTTGTGGAGGGTGGGTGTGCCGGCGAGTTGTCTGCTAATTCCTGCTAAGTAACCCCTCCCCCTTCCACTCTTGTAGTAGTAGTAGTGTTTACCATGTAAATAGTCATTAATCATATGGTGAAACTTTTTTAAATATTATATTCCTATGTTGACCAGACCTCATACTAGAAGGTGAAGGGACGACGACGTTTCGGTCCGTCCTGGACTATTCTCAAGTCGATCATTCACAATCGACTTGAGAATAGACCAGGACGGACCGAAACATCGTCGTCCCTTCACCTTCTAGTGTGTGGTCTGGTCAACATACTTCAGCCACGTTATTGTGACTCATCGCCTGCATTATATTCCTTGTGGTAACCTATTTAAAGCGGATACTAGTTGCTTCAGTAATAATTGTTATTGTGTGGGTGAAGATAGTGTTGTTCCCAACACTATCCTGACCACCAAACGACCTGGCCACCACCACACGACCTGGCCACCACCACACGACCAGACCACCACCACACCACCTGACCACCACCACACCACCTGACCACCACCACACGACCAGATCACCACCACACCACCTGACCACCACCACACGACCAGATCACCACCACACCACCTGACCTACCTGAGAGCAGCGAGGTCCACGGAAGGGCGTGACGCAGGTGACCTTGAGGGAGTAATTGAGGGTGGTGTAGGCGTTGGCGTGGGCGTAGTGCGCCCACACCCGCTCCCCCTCAACCCGATGGTGACCCACGTGTCGCACGATCAGCTGACCCACGCGCTCTGTAAATATATTGTCACCCCTTGGTTACGTACCGTCCATGGTGGTACACTAGTTACGTACCGTCCATGGTGGTACACTAGTTACGTACCGTTCATGGTGGTACACTAGTTACCGTTCATGGTGGTAAACTGCTTACGTCCCGTTGATGATGGTACAGTGGTTACGTACAGTTTTGGGTACGTAGGCCACGTGTGTGTGAACGCCTGACGTATCTTGAAAACATTGTACAACAACATTTCCTATGTTATTATTATTATTATTATTTTCTATTCCACAGCAAGAAGCTAACAGCTAGGGCTCAGGAGGTGAGGTTGAGGAGCTTGGGGTTTCTACCTCAGACACACAGGTAAGCACTCAGACACTCAATTGTCTCTTAAGGGAACCTAAGGCGCATCTGGGAACATCCCGTGCGTAGGTTCGAACCCTCATTACGGCTCTTGTGGATTTGTTCGTTTGATATATCACGCTATTGTGATTTGTGTGTGTACTCACCTGTCCTTTTGGGAGGCTGTCGAATCTTGAAGAGGCGACCTGTGACGTCATGCCATGCTTCTATTATCAACTTGAAGGTTACCTGAAAAACATGGATTATAAATTCCTGTTATTGTATTATCATTGTTATTTTTGTCAATACTATTATGATTATTATTATTACACAAAAAATAAGAGAAGTTTGGGTAATGATGTCAGTGTTGGGAGAGTGTGTGTGAGCAGATATGGTGAAGGATGGTACCCACCGGCCAGGGTATGGTGAAGGATGGTACCCACCGGCCAGGGTATGGTGAAGGATGGTACCCACCGGCCAGGGTATGGTGAAGGATGGTACCCACCGGCCAGGATATGGTGAAGGATGGTACCCACCGGCCAGGGTATGGTGAAGGGCAGGGTGATGTCGAGTGCTCCGTCAGTGGGGGCATGAAGGCTGTTGTTAGTGACGACGGCAGTCACCAGGAGCCCCAGAGTGCAGGGCACCTGTGGCAGAGGTGCTGTCCTCCTGCTGCTGCTGCCCCAACCTTCTCTCTCTCCTGCTGGCGTCGGGGAAGTGGTGCCATTCTCGCCTGCTGACCTGCGGCCACCCAGCCTGCTTCTCCCCCGCCGGCCAAGCCCGGTGACCGTGAGGGCCTGGGTCACCAGGTAGGTGGGTTGGGTGTTGAGGATGGCGGCTGCCAGTAGCGACGACGACCCGCCCAGGGTGGTGTTGAGGGTGGCCGAGGGCGGTGGGGGCCGCGGGCGGTGCGGGCGGGCACTGTGGGTGGCACATACTCTGTAGGGTGACACGGAAGGTTGTTATTATCCCCTACCTCACACTACACTACACCTCCCTCACTACACCTTTCACACTACACTTAACTACAATTACCTCACTATATTTCCTTGTAATGGGCCAAGCAGCCGGCAATTATTATTCTTGCCCGGGGCAAAGAGACACCCAAGGCCACCCTTCAGTGTGCACACAGCCTGCTAGGGACGCCTGGGAGAGCTGTAAACTCTTCTTATCTCTGGAGGATCACAGCCCATCCTAGCCAGCTCCCCCTCCGCGGTGTTGCCTTGTGGTGAGGGGCTCACCAACACCTCCCTGGGACCGGTAAGGGTTGCCTCCGCCCCCTCTCCTGCATCTCTTTGGGTGTTGTATGTGCAAAAGGGCACCACCGTAGGGTCCTTGTGAGTCACCTGACCACCCGCTGGAGGGGTCTACTTTGGCTGGGTGTCCAGGCTGGGGCGAAAGGGAGAATGAGGTCTTTACACCAGTGTGGGAGAATGGACGAGGCAGTAGGACTCCCCCTGTTGAAAAGAGGGGAGACCGCTGGGGACGATGCACCCCTTCCTTCGCTGGCCCGCGCTTGGTCCATCCTCCCGCTCCCTTAACTCCATCATCGTTGCTAAATTTACTCATGTCCCCTAACCCTGATTACACTGATCTTCTTCAGTATGCTGTGTTCTTCTTTGCCTTTGTTTTTTCATTGTTCTTTGTTACTGTTCTCTCCCATTTTGACAGTGTCTATTCTTCAATAGAATATTCGTGGATTTTATACCACCTTCCATGAACTCCAACTTCTCATTACACAGTTTTCACCGCTTTGTGTTTGTCTCCAGGAGCCAATGCTCGGTGCTCGTCCTGGTGACCTTCGTGGTTATTCCTTTCCCCCATCCCCACTCTCCAGCTTTTGCTGGGGCCTACAACACACATGGAAACTAAGTACCCAATTGAGCCCAGAGACATAACTAAGAATTATTTCAGTATGAGGGTAATGAACAGTTGGAATGGTGAAGGCAGACTCCATACACAGTCAATGTAGATATGACATAGCCCAATAATCTCTGGAAACTATATATCAGTCGATTTAGGGTCGAGAAGCGGGACCCAAGAGCCGTGGCCTCATCCCCGGCAAGTACAACTAAGTGAGAACAGTACCTGAAGAAGGTGCGGCAATGCAAGCTGCAAGGCGGCGCCCTGCGGCCTCCAGGGTTGAGGCAACACTCGCCTTCAGCGCCTCTGGACAGGTCGTTAGTGAAGCTTGTCACACGCACCCGCAATACGCCCTTGCCGCCGCTTTCACACTCCCGTCCCTGCAACACAGGGTAAATAGCTCAGTACTGACCCTGCAACACGTGGTAAATGTAACAGCACTGGTCCTGCAACACAAAATAATTAATACAAAGCTCTCATTTCAACTGACCTAAACATCCCACAACCTCTCATCACACCAAGCAACTGTACCGAGAGTGGCCTCTGCAATATATCAATATCTAAACGTTTGAATGTTTGACCAAGGTTAAGGGTCAGACGTTTGGGGCCAGCCTCATCCATTATTTTCACAGTGATTGTTACTGTGTTCGTTCCCAACAATGGTGAGTCAGGGTTGTCATCAATGAATAGAGTGCCACATGACTTCTCCAAAACGTACCCCCACGGACTCAACCCGGTAAATACACTCAGAAGAGTACTGACACACACTCTCACGGGTCACCAAAGCCACCCAAGAACCGCCCGTTGGTAGCTTCATCACTCAAGAAGTGAACAAGTCGGATATCATAGAGAGAGTTAAGAAAGCCTATTAGGTAACATTAACCTTGTCAGCTCTCAAGCAGTCAAATGAGACAGAGACGACATGCCACGGGTTTAATATGTGAGTTAGAGAGCTGTTGTGGGCTGCATCCTGGGGATGCATGTTGTGTGTGTGTGTGTGAGCTTGGTCGGGAGTCAGTATAGTAAACAACAGACGGTTAGACAGACGGGGTCTAAGAGCTAACAGCTAGTAAACAGGACATAATAAGATACGGGACAAAGTTCTACCAGAAAAAGATTACCTCTGGATCAGTCCACCTGATGAAGCCGTCGGAGCTGGATCAATTCTCACCATTAATTACCGCACACCAGGAAAAACTCGCCAGAGAAAATCAGCAGTTTCTACAGGCCTCCTGGCCCCGGTACGGCCTCCTGGCCCCGGCACGGCCTCCTGGCCCCGGCACGGCCTCCTGGCCCCGGCACGGCCTCCTGGCCCCGGCACGGCCTCCTGGCCCCGGCACGGCCTTCTGGCCCCGGCACGGCCTCCTGGCTCCGGCACGGCCTCCTGGCCCCGGCACGGCCTCCTGGCCCCAGCACGGCCTCCTGGCCCCAGCACGGCCTCCTGGCCCCGGCACGGCCTCCTGGCCCCAGCACGGCCTCCTGGCCCCGGCACGGCCTCCTGGCCCCGGCACGGCCTCCTGGCCCCGGCACGGCCTCCTGGCCCCAGCACGGCCTCCTGGCCCCAGCACGGCCTCCTGGCCCCGGCACGGCCTCCTGGCCCCGGCACGGCCTCCTGGCCCCGGCACGGCCTTCTGGCCCCGGCACGGCCTCCTGGCTCCGGCACGGCCTCCTGGCCCCGGCACGGCCTCCTGGCCCCAGCACGGCCTCCTGGCCCCAGCACGGCCTCCTGGCCCCAGCACGGCCTCCTGGCCCCAGCACGGCCTCCTGGCCCCGGCACGGCCTCCTGGCCCCGGCACGGCCTCCTGGCCCCAGCACGGCCTCCTGGCCCCGGCACGGCCTCCTGGCCCCGGCACGGCCTCCTGGCCCCGGCACGGCCTCCTGGCCCCAGCACGGCCTCCTGGCCCCAGCACGGCCTCCTGGCGGGAAACTTGGGACAATTCCAACACTGATCGTGAGGAAATGTACAAAAATTTGCTCCAAAACGGCGTGATAACCTTTCGTACCCAGGTCACCTGACTGTGAGTTGCTTAGCTACGGAACCATGAGGTGCTTAAGCCTATCACCGCCGCCCTCACCACACATCTTGTATTGGAAGGGTCCCCGGTAGCATAGTCGGCTTCATTCTCCACGCACAATCCAGAATTCCGGCTTGGAATCCCGAGCGGAACAGAAATCGTTAGGTGCATTTCCTTTCACCTAATGCTTCTGTTCACCTAGCAGTGAGTAGGTACTCCAGGAGTTAGTCAGCTTGTTGTGGGGCTGCATCCTGGGCGGGGTCAGTAATTCGACCTTCAGGGGGGGGGCCTTGGTAAAAGCCAAAATGTGTATGAATACACTCTGGCTTCCTGTCCCCCGACACAATGAATTATTATTATTATTATTATTATTATTATTATTATTATTATTATTATTATTATAAGCCAAGTCTTCTAACTGCCCTGAACAAGGACTGTTGATTGGAGAGTTAAGTCTTCCAAACTCTTAAATACCGACTAAAAACAAGGTAATTTAAAATGTTAATGATAAAACAACTGGTTTTGGAGTTTTGAGAAGGCTCAGCTCATTGGTCAGAAGAACACCAATCACGAGTCTAGAAAGTTGCAGTTAATCTCCCAACAGAGACATTATGAACACCATCTGTGGGAAACATTTCAGTAAATTCGCATAATCAAAACCATTTTGAAGAAGATTCGCCAGATTTTTCAAGAGGCAGGAACCCCAAGACACCAGCGCCACCAGTCACAAAGCAGATCACCGCCAGGAACGCACCAATCACGGCCGAGTGTCAACAAACCCCGCCAAAGATTGAGGAAAGATGTACACGTTCGTAAGTAATTGCGTAACTGCTTCGTGAATCTGGGCGGAGCCTCGCCACCAGCCCACATTTTTAGCGGGAAGACAATGGAGAGGGGCCGCTCGTCCAGGAACTAATGGGGCCGGAAAGAGGGTACAAAGAGGGGGATAGTGTGAGAGTAGGGGGATAGTTGGAAGGATTAATCACCTCCCCTCCCCCTCACCTCCGGGGTGTTATTACCTTAGGAGTGATGAGGGGGGAGAGGGGCTTCCTCCTGAGGCTAGGGGAGTCACTAATATTTCCACATGTGCGGGAGGCGCCGGGGTTACCTGGCTTAATGTCTTCATTAGCTTACTGGGTGACCTAGGTTATTGTGGCACGTCACTTCCGACGGTGCCTGGCTTGCTGTAGTGCCTGGCTTGCTGTAGTGCTTGACTTGCTGGAGTGCCTGGCTTGTTGTAGTGCTTGGCTTGTTGTAGTGCTTGGCTTGTTGTAGTGCTTGGCTTGTTGTAGTGCTTGGCTTGTTGTAGTGCTTGGCTTGCTGTAGTGCTTGGCTTGCTGGAGTGCCTGGCTTGTTGTAGTGCTTGGCTTGCTGTAGTGCCTGGCTTGTTGTAGTGCTTGGCTTGCTGTAGTGCCTGGCTTGCTGGAGTGCTTGGCTTGTTGTAGTGCTTGGCTTGCTGGAGTGCCTGGCTTGCTGGAGTGCTTGGCTTGTTGTAGTGCTTGGCTTGCTGTAGTGCCTGGCTTGCTGGAGTGCTTGGCTTGTTGTAGTGCTTGGCTTGCTGGAGTGCCTGGCTTGCTGGAGTGCTTGGCTTGTTGTAGTGCTTGGCTTGCTGTAGTGCCTGGCTTGCTGGAGTGCTTGGCTTGCTAGAGTGCCTGGCTTGCTGGAGTGCTTGGCTTGTTGTAGTGCTTGGCTTGCTGTAGTTCCTGGCTTGCTGGAGTGCTTGGCTTGCTGTAGTGCCTGGCTTGCTAGAGTGCCTGGCTTGCTGTAGTGCCTGGCTTGCTGGAGTGCTTGGCTTGCTAGAGTGCCTGGCTTGCTGGAGTGCTTGGCTTGCTGTAGTTCCTGGCTTGCTGGAGTGCTTGGCTTGCTGTAGTGCCTGGCTTGCTAGAGTGCCTGGCTTGCTGTAGTGCCTGGCTTGCTGGAGTGCTTGGCTTGCTAGAGTGCCTGGCTTGCTGGAGTGCTTGGCTTGCTGTAGTGCCTGGCTTGCTGGAGTGCTTGGCTTGCTGTAGTGCCTGGCTTGCTGGAGTGCCTGGCTTGTTGGAGCAAGCACTGGCACTCCAGCAAATGTTTCCTTACATTTCTTTGACTCATTTGTGTTTCCAGCTTCCGTCTGTGTCCTCGTGTCCTGCTTTCTCTCACTTTAAATAGGCTGATCTTGTCCTCCTTGTGTACACCCGTCAGTATCTTGAGTGTTGTGATCATATCTTCCCTGTTTCTCCCCCCCCCCCCCCCAAGGTTATGTGGTCCAATTTAACCTTCCTAGCTCTAGCATTAATATAGTTGCAAACCTCTGCACTTTTTCTATTTTAGATTTATACTTTGCAATTTAAGCAACAGATCAAAAACCCTGATCATAAGTGTGCAGAATGATGGAAAGTGGAAATCTCGGGCTCACCATAGCCCGTGCTACTTGGAACTTTTGTTCCAAGCCGCGAATCTTTAATTAAACAAAACAACAACAGTGGAAATTGAAAAGATAACAGGTAGAGCGCCTTCGGCTTCTTGTCACGCCTTCATCAGTAGCTGAACTGAGGTAGACCAGCGCAGTGGAGCGATATGATGTTATGTGACCGGGGACAACCAAAGTGTATCTATACACATATGGGTTTTGTATGGAGGTCCCTTGCCCTGCCACTCATGATATTCTCTCGTGGTGTGTTAGGTGTATGTCAACTTAGCAGCCCTGTATTATGGTGGCTCTTGGTGTCTTAGGTGACGTAATATACCTGTAAACTTGTGACAAATGTTGTCAGATTAAATGAAGTATTCCCGGGTGGAATGTCGCCTCATTCCCTGCCCCGTGGTTGATTGGTTGATGAAGATTGAGCCACCCAAAAGGTGGCACGGGCATGAATAGCCCGTAAGTGGTGGCCCTTTTGAGCCATTACCAGTATCAAGAGCTGATACTGGAGATCAGTGGAGGTGGGAATGCACCCTGCGTGGCGGGAGCTGTCTCCCGTGCTGCCCCGTGGGGTCAAGATACTGTAGTATACCTTATCACTGGTTTGACTCTCCGTTTTCTACTAGGTGAATGTCCGTTTTTCTCTAGGAGTAACTAATAAATTATCGCTGGTTGGTTATTTATTTATTTATTTATTTATTCATTTATGCAAGCGTTCTTGCACCGTCTCCACAGTGACGCTATGGCAGAGTAAAATGAGTATTTTTCTATTAATTTCAAAATTGTTAAGTTATTCCAGATAACTTTCGTTTTCTGTAACTTGCGACTGTCGCAACGTTTTCTGTTACACAGCTGCTCTACAAAATTTGTATCGAAATTTTATTGTGTAATAATAATAAATAATAATAATTATGTTTTATAAGATACAAATAATAAACAGTGGTGACGTAGTAGGCAGAGCGTTTGAACATTTTAATAGTGTGTATCAGCCCGTCCTCATAAACAAAGGCCCAAAGTCCATTCCATCCACCCGCCAAACCCCTAGGTGTTTATGAATGAAAAATGGTTTACACACGACTCACAACTGATGACGTCCGAACGCTTCCGGAACAAGTGTTTCACTTACTTGTGTTCGAACCACAATTGTATAAATGCTTCACCCACGTACTACAAATACAAATAATCGCCAACAGAACCTAAACACCTAACCTAACCAGTGCAAATGAACAATCCACAAGTGCCGTGACGAGAATTCGAACCTGCATCCGGAAGCATCCCAGACACTGCCTTAATCGACTGAGCTACGACAGGGTAAAAGGGTTGAAACCGAAGTTCAACCCTTTTACCCTGTCGTAGCTCAGTCGATTAAGGCAGTGTCTGGGATGCTACCGGACGCAGGTTCGAATCCTCGTCACGGCCCTTGTGGATTTGTTCATTTGATGCATCACGTTAGTGTGATCTCTGTGTCTAACCAGTGCCTAAATATGTACAGTATTGTAATATAAAATAATATTAATTTATATTTGAGAAAATTTCTATATTGAATGTACAGCATGTTAAAATTGATGAATGCGTCTTTGGGGTCGACCGCTGGATGGAATGGACTTGGCCTGAGGACAGGTAGTGAACAGACTATAGCAGACGGGGCCACACAGCTAAACCTCACTTCTCCTAGCCACTCTTAGGTAAGAACACACCCCCTATAATCCCCCCTCCCCATAGTGACCTTTAACCCTCCTCCCCTACCCCCTTCCTGTGCCCCCATGACCCCACCCCGGGGCGTATAATGTGTTGACCTTGAGTGCTGAACTTCCCACGCCCTCCTCACCCCTCCTCACACCATCTATAAGAGTATATAGGAAATGTATATTTTTATCTCTCAGAATGTTTGGTAATATGTTTATTGTTTGTGATGTGTGTCTATGTATGTATTAACACGATGTACTGAACGGGGTGAGAATAGCTTGAGCTACCTCATCCCCTTTGTGTGTATTTTACCTCAATAAACTTATTTCAATTTCAATTCAATGTACGAGTACCTCACACTCACACTAGCTTTCAAACTTGCACGCTGCTTTCTCCAACCATTGACCGTCGGTCTCGTAGGCTAGGTGGGTTGCTGTAGGTGCGTACGGTTGCGGTTAGGCGCGGCCTGGTGGATAGTGGTGCTGGCAAGTTGGCACCACTCTGGACGACAGACATACTCGCCCATCCGGCGGGTGGAGGCATTTCCTGCCCTCTCATCTCTCTCATTTTATTAGTCTAGACTAACAGCTGATGCTGAATGTTTTGATTGGTAATTTCTCAGCTTCAGTTTGCCCCAAGGGGCGAGTTTATTGGGCAGCGGCACTCATCCTGTGAGTGGACACCGCCATAGCAGCATGTACAACACTACCTAATAGGAAGAAAACCCGCTGGGTCGTTCATCCTGTCACTTGTTACATTGCTGTATCTATACAAGAGAATGTCTGTCAGTTTCTTTCTGAAGAGCCAAGGTTAGAGGGCAGTCACATGGGGGGGGGGTGTTTAGCCTCAAATCAACTTTTCAGGGTGACACGTGGGTGGTAGGGGTCTGTCATAGGTGGATCAGGGATCAGCCCCTTTGCCCAGACGCACATTAAGAAGGCTCAGCTCCTATTGCGATTCTCAATGACTGAAAATATAGTTTTGTTTTCCGTGAGTTTTCCAGCAGTTGATATTGCAAGAGAAAGAGAAAGTCCCAGATATCCCAATCTAGTGAAGGATAACCCGAAAAATATATATTCCCACCCATGCACGCACTCACTCACTCACTCACTCACTCACTCACTCACTCACTCACTCACTCACTCACTCACTCACTCACTCACTCACTCACTCACTCACTCACCACCCAGAGCACCTCACATACACCACCACGTCCGCCTGTACGGGAGACATTCATACTCTATTTGTTTTTTCTTTCAGATTTTTCCCCCCTTTTTTTTGGCTGGTGGTTTTCTTAATATAAACCCGGGTGGCCGGGACATGTTCCTCCGCCAGGTTATTACCCAGCAGGTCTTGGTGTCCTGCCGCTGACACCACCAGGACGTGCTCCTCTGCCTCACCGCTACTCTATAACCTTTCCTACTCTATAAGCCTCTCCCAACCCTAACCCAACCTGTCTCAACCCAACCTAACTTAACCCAACCCTAACCCAACCTGTCCTAACCCCAACCCAACCAAAATACGATATTACAGTTGTTGTGTTACATGTGTAGGGAGTACGAGGTGTGTGACGCCACACACCTGTAAACCGCTTGGCGTAATAAACTCCGGTGTGTACACACCTGAACTCTCGTGACCCCTTGTCATACCCCCCCCCCTCCAACCTCAGGCCAGGCGCGGGGGTCCACAGGGTATAGACTTTGTGTAGCCAGATAATCACGTCGAATATTTTTTAAAATTTACCCTAAAAATATATAATTTGTTAAGATGAGAGAAGAGTGAGGTGAGGCCCCCCGGGCCCCCCCCCCTACAGGTAGTTCACACGCATACAACTGGCTGTAAATCAACTAATTATCGTTAATGATCTAATTGCTGGATATACCTTGAGAGTGAGCCTTGTGACCGACTCTCTAGGGGAACATGGCGGCTGTTGTGACCCTGGACAATAAGGGGAGGGAATTATTGATGCCGTCGGCGGTGGACAATATTGGTCAATACACTGGGATGCTCTCGGACGCAGGTTCGAATCCTCGTCACGGCCCTTGTGGATTTGGTAATATTGGTCAATACAGTAAGAAGGGAGAATTGACTAAAAGAGAGGAGAGATATCTTGATGTTGTCTGGAGATGATTTCGGGGCTTAACGTCCCCGCGGCCCGGTCCTCCACCAGGCCTCCTTTTTGTTACACATTCCCAGGAAGCAGCCCGTAGCAGCTGACTCCCAGGTACCTATTTACTGCTAGATGAGCAGGGGCATCAGGATGAAGAAACATTTTTGCCCATTTGTCTCCGCCTCCACCGGGGATCGAACCCGGAACCTCAGGACTACGAATCCGGAGCGCTGTCCACCCAGCTGTCAGGCGCCCTAATAAAATAAACAGTGCAGTGATTGGTAGGGGAAAACATTATAAAAAACAAAGTTAAAATGTAAACTTTTTTCGGGAAATAAGAAGGTCTTTCAGAAGGAAATATTGATGGATGGAGAAGAACAAGTGAGATTAACATGGGGGGGGGGGGATATTGCAGAATAATTTACTCTGTGGTCCAGAGGTAAGGTGCAGGGATTTGGAGTACCCACGACGCGGGGTTCGAATCCCAGCATTGCTCTCATTGACTTTCTTACTTAAAGGACTGGTACAAACTTGGCATTCAATGAGTTTATATTCAAAATATTCAGTTTTTCTTAGTCTTTCCCTAATAAGTAGATTTTTCCTGGTTAAATATTTATATATATATATATATATATTTTTACTGGTTATATATATTTCAGAAAAACGTCCTAGCACTGAGCCGAGGAAGGACATGTTGAGAGCTTGACGCAGGCTGTTATCATTGTGTTATCTTAAGCCCCTGACAAGTAGAGGAGCACCTTCACTTACCCCGAGGAGCGACCAGACCAGCAGCAGCAGGAGGCTCCACCGACCCGTCCACGACATGCTCCAAGGTCCTGCTCCCAGTCTTGAGGTCCACCTTGAGTAGCGGCGCAGGAGTGGCTCAACCTCTCCCTACTTTTGACGTTTTCTTGACTTTTAACTCGCAAATTTAAATCATTTTGAAGTCTGACCCAATGTTATTTATTATATTATAATTGTATATTTATCCATTATTTTCCTTCCACTTTTTTAAAGTTCTTGAAGCACTATTGAGCAGCCGAGGCTAGAGACAACAGTCATGTCAACGCCTCTCGACACATAATTAACCAACTTCACTGGAAACATTTTATTATTATTAACATCTTTATTGACAAAAAATAATTACAATTTTGCCTAATCTGAGGAATTTAATTAGGTCTTATTAGAGTGAGGATAATTCATTGTCACACAGGACAGAGGATCATACAGATACCGTGACATCACCGTTTGTACAGTGACATCATCGAATTAAGAGCATCAGGTGACTTCAGTAGACTGCGTGACCTTGCTCGTATAGTGAGGTCACTGTAATGAGTGTAGTGACGTCGTCCACACCTCACCACCTTGACGGAGGCGTTGATGTGTATCCACACACACACAGGTACAGCTGACTGTATCCACACACAGGTACAGCTGACTGTATCCACACACAGGTACAGCTGACTGTATCCACACACACAGGTACAGCTGACTGTATCCACACACACACACAGGTACAGCTGACTGTATCCACACACAGGTACAGCTGACTGTATCCACACACAGGTACAGCTGACTGTATTCACACACACAGGTACAGCTGACTGTATCCACACACACACAGGTACAGCTGACTGTATCCACACACACAGGTACAGCTGACTGTATCCACACACACAGGTACAGCTGACTGTATCCACACACAAATACAGCTGGCTGTATCCACACACACAGGTACAGCATGCCAACAACACATTAAACAGTAGCACTTTCTGAATATATTAAGTAGCACACTGTGCCTTACATGTGTAAGTCACACTTCAGTTAGTAGTAGTCGACACTTAAGGAACGCAGCAAGTAGCAGCAGACATAAGTAATACATAAAATAGTTGCGAACATGTAAGAAACGCTTCAAGTAGCACAGAACATTAACAAAAAAAGACAAAGTAGCAGCAGATACATAAGAAACGTATAAAGTAGCAGCTGGCACATAAGGAGCACATCAAGTAGGAGCTGGCATATGAAGTAGCAGAGGACACGTGAGGAACACATCAAGTAAGAACATACAAGTAAGGAGCACTAGTAACGAAGACAAGCAGCAGCAGCAGCAGCGAACACGTAAGTAACACTCCAGAAACGTAACACACACACTACATCACTCAATATGAAGGCTCCAGAAAACGACACATACACAAGGAGCACACAGAGTACCAGCAAACACGGAACACATTACACGTAAGTAACACCTCAGTAACGTAACACGCGCACCATGAGTCACGGCTCTAGTGAGCGGGACACACAAGGAACACGTGGCAGTGCTCACGTAACACATCATCTAGTAGCACACGGGTAACACTCGAGTAAGGACACAGACGTAACAATATCAGGCTCCGGTGAAGGATGTTCCGCGGTGCCGGCCTGGAGCACACTGGAGCCTCGGCCCGGCAGGTAACTTCCAGTACCATCTGCGGGGAGGGGGAGGATGGGGGGGGAGGTGGGAGCTGATCATGGGATGGGGAGGTGGTGGTCATGTTGGGGGAGGTGGTGGTCATGTTGGGGAGGTGGTGGTCATGTTGGGGAGGTGGTGGTCATGTTGGGGGAGGTGGTGGTCATGTTGGGGGAGGTGGTGGTCATGTTGGGGAGGTGGTGGTTATATTGGGGAGGTGGTGGTCATGTTGGGGAGGTGGTGGTCATGTTGGGGAGGTGGTGGTCATGTTGGGGAGGTGGTGGTTATATTGGGGAGGTGGTGGTCATGTTGGGGAGGTGGTGGTTGTTGGGGAGGTGGAGGTATGTTGGGGAGGTGGTGGTCATGTTGGGGAGGTGGTGGTGGTCTTGTTGGGGAGGTGGTGGTCATGTTGGGGAGGTGGTGGTCATGTTGGGGAGGTGGTGGTCATGTTGGGGAGGTGGTGGTCATGTTGGGGAGGTGGTGGGGGGGGGAGGTGGTGGTCATGTTGGGGAGGTGGGGGGGGGGGTGGTGGTGGTCATGTTGGGGAGGTGGTGGTCATGTTGGGGGGGTGGTGGTCATGTTGGGGGAGGTGGTGGTCATGTTGGGGAGGTGGTGGTCATGTTGGGGAGGTGGAGGTTGTATTGGGGGGGTGGTGGTCATGTTGGGGAGGTGGAGGTTATATTGGGGGGGTGGTGGTCATGTTGGGGAGGTGGTGGTCATGTTGGGGAGGTGGTGGTCATGTTGGGGAGGTGGTGGTGTTGGGGGAGGTCATGTTGGGGAGGTGGTGGTCATGTTGGGGAGGTGGTGGGGGAGGTGGTGGTCATGTTGGGGAGGTGGTGGGTTGGGGGTGGTGGTCAGGTGGTGGTCATGTTGGGGAGGTGGTGGTCATGTTGGGGGAGGTGGTGGTCATGTTGGGGAGGTGGTGGTCATGTTGGGGAGGTGGAGGTTATATTGGGGAGGTGGTGGTCATGTTGGGGAGGTGGTGGTCATGTTGGGGAGGTGGTGGTCATGTTGGGGAGGTGATGGTGGTCATGTTGGGGGAGGTGTGGTCATGTTGGGGAGGTGGTGGTCATGTGGTCATGGGGAGGTGGTGGTTATATTGGGGGGGTGGTGGTCATGTTGGGGAGGTGGTGGTCATATTGGGGGGGTGGTCATGTTGGGGAGGTGGGGGGGGAGGTGGTGGTCATGTTGGGGAGGTGGTGGTCATGTTGGGGAGGTGGTGGTCATGTTGGGGAGGTGGTGGTCATGTTGGGGGTGGTGGTGGTCATGTTGGGGGTTAGGTGGGGATGGGGGAGGTGGTGGTCATGTTGGGGAGGTGGTGGTTGGGGAGGTGGGGTCATGTTGGGGTGGTGGTCATGTTGGGGAGGTGGTGGTCATGTTGGGGAGGTGGTGGTCATGGTTGGGGAGGTGGTGGTCATGTTGGGGGGGTGGTGGTCATGTTGGGGGGGAGGTGGTGGTCATGTTGGGGAGGTGGTGGTCATGTTGGGGGAGGTGGTGGTCATGTTGGGGGAGGTGGTGGTCATGTTGGGGAGGTGGTGGTCATGTTGGGGAGGTGGTGGTCATGTTGGGGAGGTGGTGGTCATGTTGGGGAGGTGGTGGTCATGTTGGGGAGGTGGTGGTCATGGTGGTCATGTTGGGGAGGTGGTGGTCAGGTGGTGGTCAGGTGGTGGTCATGTTGGGGAGGTGGTGGTCATGTTGGGGAGGTGGTGGTCATGGGGGAGGTGGTGGTCATGTTGGGGGGTGGTGGTCATGTTGGGGAGGTGGTGGTCATGTTGGGGAGGTGGTGGTCATGTTGGGGAGGTGGTGGTCATGTTGGGGAGGTGGTGGTCATGTTGGGGAGGTGGAGGTGGGGAGGTGGTGGTCATGTTGGGGAGGTGGTGGTGTTGGGGAGGTGGTGGTCATGGTGGTGGTCATGTTGGGGCGGTGGTGGTCTTGTTGGGGAGGTGGTGGTTATGTTGGGGAGGTGGTGGTCATGTTGGGGAGGTGGAGGTTGTATTGGGGGGGTGGTGGGGAGGTGGTGTCATGTTGGGGAGGTGGAGGTGGGGAGGTGGTGGTCATGTTGGGGAGGTGGGTCATGTTGGGGAGGTGGAGGTTGTATTGGGGGGGTGGTGGTCATGTTGGGGAGGTGGTGGTGGTCATGTTGGGGAGGTGGAGGTTATATTGGGGAGGTGGGGGGGGGTGGTCATGTTGGGGAGGTGGTGGTGGAGGTTATGTTGGGGGAGGTGGTGGTCATGTTGGGGAGGTGGTGGTGGTCATGTTGGGGAGGTGGTGGTCATGTTGGGGAGGGTGGGGGGGTGGTGGTCATGTTGGGGAGGTGGGTGGTCATGTTGGGGAGGTGGAGGTCATGTTGGGGAGGTGGAGGTCATGCTGGGGGGTGGAGGTGGTGGTCATGTTGGGGAGGTGGTGGTCATGTTGGGGAGGTGGTGGTCATGTTGGGGAGGTGGTGGTCATGTTGGGGAGGTGGTGGTCATGTTGGGGAGGTGGAGGTTATATTGGGGAGGTGGTGGTCATGTTGGGGAGGTGGTGGTCATGTTGGGGAGGTGGTGGTCATGTTGGGGAGGTGGTGGTCATGTTGGGGAGGTGGTGGTCATGTTGGGGAGGTGGTGGTCATGTTGGGGAGGTGGTGGTGGTGGTCATGTTGGGGAGGTGGTGGGGAGGTGGTGGTCATGTTGGGGAGGTGGTGGTCATGTTGGGGAGGTGGTGGTCAGGGGGAGGTGGAGGTTATATTGGGGTGGTGGTGGTCATGTTGGGGGGGTGGTGGTCATGTTGGGGAGGTGGTGGTCATGTTGGGGAGGTGGTTATATTGGGGAGGTGGTGGTCATGTTGGGGAGGTGGTGGTGGGGAGGTGGTGGTCATGTTGGGGAGGTGGAGGTTATGTTAGTGAGGTGCCTCCCTCACCTCTCACCGGGGGAGGGGGGGTGAGGCAGGGAGCAACAAGGCAGGGAAGAAGACGTAGAGGTGTGAGGGAGAAGAGGAGGCATTAAGAGAGGGGCTTGAGACAGGATGGAGGGACGCCAGTGAGGGTCTAGGTCATGATGGTATAGTCAAGGACACTAGCATTCATCAACCTCAACTGTGTTCCCACGCTCTTGACAGAGGGGATGACGCCCCCGATGGCCGCTTGGGTGCTGTGGGGACGGTGTGTGGTCAGGCTTAATCATCTGGCCTCCTTACTTGGAACACACACACATTCTCTCTTAGAGATATAGATTAGCCGTAACTATTGGTTATAGTTAGTAGTAGCCCTGGTAGTAGCCCTGCAGACGCTGCTCCCAGGTGCGCCAAGACCAAGCTTCTCTAATGTGAATGCGGTGGAACCTTCCAGATTATTTGGTTGCAGCCTTGGACCCATGGAACACTCTTGGGTCAGCTGACCAATGAGAAAACAGACACTCATTGCTAGTTGGTCAGACATTTATAACAGCGAGTGTTGAGACTGCATGGAGCTAGGAATTATTTGGTTACATTAACTGTATATATCATTGTCCTGTTAATGGCTGTCTGGTAGTACTTAAATTTAAATTTTGACCCGAAGGGCGAGTGTATTGGACAGCGGCACTCATCCTGTGAGTGGACACACCGCCATAGTGACAGTATTGGGCAGCACCACTTATCCTGTGAGTGGACACACCGCCATAGTGACAGTATTGGGCAGCGTCACTCATCCTGTGAGTGGACACACCGCCATAGTGACAGTATTGGGCAGTGCCACTCATCCTGTGAGTGGACACACCGCCATAGTGACAGTATTGGGCAGCGTCACTCATCCTGTGAGTGGACACACCGCCATAGTGACAGTATTGGGCAGCGCCACTCATCCTGTGAGTGGACACACCGCCATAGTGACAGTATTGGGCAGCGCCACTCATCCTGTGAGTGGACACACCGCCATAGTGACAGTATTGGGCAGCGTCACTCATCCTGTGAGTGGACACACCGCCATAGTGACAGTATTGGGCAGCGCCACTCATCCTGTGAGTGGACACACCGCCATAGCAGCATGTACAACACTCCCCAATAGGAAGAAAACCCGCTGGGTTGTTCATCCTGTCACTTGTACCCAGACAGCTGAGACTTGCTAAACTGTCTCAAACAAGAATATTAACACTCAACCCTTAAAATCTTACATTATCTTGCGGGCACAAAATGGGGGAATCTTTTAAGAACATTATATATATATTTAACAAATAGTGTTTTCCCAACTCAAACAATGTGGGGTTTATTATTCTACACACATTCCTACTGACTTAGATGTTCAGATTCTCTCAGGTAGTGGTCAAGGCGGTGTCCGTCACTCTCACTACAGCTTCTGCTAGGTACTTCAAACATAAGACTGGGGGAATATAGCAACACATGTAGGAACAACAGCAACAACATGATACCAACAACAACAGAAACATAAAACAAGGCTGATAAGGATATCATCACATTTCCGCCTTGAGAAACCCAGGAAAAAAATCGCATCAGCAGATCCCAAGGTTAAAGGTGATGACCTCGCGCTGGGAAGATTACTTCCTCCCAGGGATGCATTAAGCATGTACGCAACCCATTACGAAACCTGTACATCTTTCTATAATCATGGCGGCTCTGTTTACATTTATTAAACAGTTTGTGAGTTGTGAGCACCAGGAGGATGCTTGTAACAGTAACAACCTTCGCTTGAAAAGTTTCCACGCTCCTAAACTCTTTAATACATGTAACATCGACGCCATAATTGAAGAAAGATGTACAGGTTTCGTATGTGGTACGAGGGCTTGAGGAATACTGACTGGCAGATATTAATATAATTATTAGTGAGATGAAGATGATTACTATCACCTCTGGTGAATGTCAAGAATGGGTGGGAGGTGAATAAATCATGGGTGGGAGGTGAATACATCATGGGTGGGAGGTGAATACATCATGGGTGGGAGGTGAATACATCATGGGTGGGAGGTGAATACATCATGGGTGGGTGGTGAATACATCATGGGTGGGAGGTGAATAAATCATGGGTGGGAGGTGACTAAATCATGGGTGGGAGGTGAATACATCATGGGTGGGAGGTGAATACATCATGGGTGGGAGGTGAATACATCATGGGTGGGTGGTGAATACATCATGGGTGGGAGGTGAATACATCATGGGTGGGAGTTGAATACATCATGGGTGGGAGGTGACTAAATCATGGGTGGGAGGTGAATACATCATGGGTGGGAGGTGAATACATCATGGGTGGGAGGTGAATACATCATGGGGGGTGGTGAATACATCATGGGTGGGAGGTGAATACATCATGGGTGGGTGGTGAATACATCATGGGTGGGAGGTGAATACATCATGGGTGGGAGGTGAATACATCATGGGTGGGAGGTGAATACATCATGGGTGGGAGGTGAATACATCATGGGTGGGAGGTGAATACATCATGGGTGGGAGGTGAATACATCATGGGTGGGTGGTGAATACATCATGGGTGGGAGGTGAATACATCATGGGTGGGAGGTGAATACATCATGGGTGGGAGGTGAATACATCATGGGTGGGAGGTGAATACATCATGGGTGGGAGGTGAATACATCATGGGTGGGAGGTGAATACATCATGGGTGGGAGGTGAATACATCATGGGTGGGAGGTGAATACATCATGGGTGGGAGGTGAATACATCATGGGTGGGAGGTGAATACATCATGGGTGGGAGGTGAATACATCATGGGTGGGAGGTGAATACATCATGGGTGGGTGGTGAATACATCATGGGTGGGAGGTGAATACATCATGGGTGGGAGGTGAATACATCATGGGTGGGAGGTGAATACATCATGGGTGGGAGGTGAATACATCATGGGTGGGAGGTGAATACATCATGGGTGGGTGGTGAATACATCATGGGTGGGAGGTGAATACATCATGGGTGGGAGGTGAATACATCATGGGTGGGAGGTGAATACATCATGGGTGGGAGGTGAATACATCATGGGTGGGAGGTGAATACATCATGGGTGGGAGGTGAATACATCATGGGTGGGAGGTGAATACATCATGGGTGGGAGGTGAATACATCATGGGTGGGAGGTGAATATATATCATGAGAATAATCCACACGCACGCATAGAGTGCGTGTGGATCACTACTTCATTGCCGATTCTATTGCAAATGTTGCTCTGTTGTACCTGTTGTTCTGTTGCAACATTTGCAGTAGAATACTGCATACTAGTACTAGTGGCTGTACAAGAATGTAACAACTCTTGTATATATCTCAAAAAAAAAAAAAAAAAATGTATTTGATTTGTGAATTATATTTGTAAACGAACAACTTCAAACATTCAAGTTGGGGATCATTATTGGTTCATTAGAGACTCGTTCGTATTTGTGGAAGTGAAGGAGTGGTTGTTGGCCATTGTTAATTGACACTTCAGACTCGCAGAATGTTAACCAATGGGGGCGAGTTTGAGGGTGAATGTCAACCAATCAGCGGCCGGGTTTGGTTGGCTGCCGGGTATAAAAGTGACGATGTGACACAAAGCACTTCAGTGTTGTTTTACCTCACTTTTGGTATACAGGCCTCGTATCTTGAGGTTGAGTTGTATGGTGAGGATCCCCCCCCCCCTCCCCCTCCCCCTGCCCCATCTCTTGAGGTTGAGTTGTATGGTGAGGATCCCCCCCCCCCCCCCTCCCTGTCCCATGTGGCGGATCTTGAGGTTGAGTTGTATGGTGAGGATCCCCCCCCCTTCCCCTGCCCCATGTGGCGGATCTTGAGGTTGAGCTGTATGGTGAGGATCCCCCCCCCCCTCCCCTTGCCCCATGTGGCGGATCTCCCCCCCCCTCCCCCATGCCCCCCCCCCCCTCCCCCTGCCCCATGTGGCGGATCTCCCCCCCCCCCTCCCCCTGCCCCATGTGGCGGATCCCCCCCCCTTCCCCTGCCCCATGTGGCGGATCCCCCCCCTTCCCCTGCCCCATGTGGCGGATCCCCCCCCTTCCCCTGCCCCATGTGGCGGATCCCCCCCCCCCTGCCCCATGTGGCGGATCCCCCCCCTTCCCCTGCCCCATGTGGCGGATCCCCCCCTTCCCCTGCCCCATGTGGCGGATCCCCCCCCTTCCCCTGCCCCATGTGGCGGATCCCCCCCTTCCCCTGCCCCTTTGTTGCGCCGCCCCCTCCCTCCCCTGCCCCTTTGTTGCGTCTCCAGTTTCTCATTGTGCTTAATTACTAATACCTATAACTAGGATCAAGCAAACTCCTACTGCCCGTCTACCCAAATAAAGAGCAACATTAAAAAAAACTTGGAGCACAATATCACAAATATTGGGATCAAAGAAGATTTTAAATAACAAACCAACACTCCTTTCCAATAACGTTGGTCAGCTTTCAGCCTCTGATTCTGCTATTGAGTTCAATAGGTTCTTCTCTTCCATTGGGTCATCCCTTGCAAATGATATTCCATCGTCCTGTACTGATGTTAAGGACTATCTTACAGGTAACTATCCAGTCTCTGTACCTAAAGCCTACTAGTTCCACTGATGTCAATGAAATAATCCTTTCCCTTAAAACCAAGTCTAGTGCCCTCGAGGAGATACCGACTTTAATTTACAAAAAAGCCTCCAGATCTCTAGCCCCTGCTATTGCATTGCTCTTCAACAAGTCACTTGAACTCCAAACCTTTCCTGACATTCTAAAAAAAGCAAGAGTAACCCCTGTCCACAAATGTGGTGATCTCACTGATGTAAACTACAGACCTATATCAATCCTGCCTAACTTGTCAAAAATATTCGAAAAGCTAATCTACAAGCAGCTTTACTCTTTTCTAGCCAAACACAATATACTTAGCTCTTGTCAATATGGCTTCAGACCCAAAAAAAGCACTAACGATGCACTTATTAGTATGATTAACTTAATTCACGCAGCTCTTGATAAAAAGGAGTTTCCTGTTGGGTTATTTGTGGACCTGCGTAAGGCTTTTGACACTGTCAACCATCAAAACCTTCTTCTTAAATTACATCATTATGGAGTCAGAGGACACTCCCTGCAATACCTCAAATCTTATCTTACTGACAGGCTCCAGTATGTTTCTGTGAATAATACAATTTCTCCCACCCTACCCATCAACATTGGTGTTCCTCAGGGCAGCATACTTGGCCCTCTCCTCTTTCTCATCTACATTAATGACCTTCCAAATGCCTCCCAACACCTCAAACCAATTCTATTTGCTGACGACACAACCTTCATTTACTCCAGTCCTGACCCCCTTGCTCTAAATGCCACAGTAAATACTGAGCTAGAGAAAGTCCATCTTTGGCCAACTGCCAACAAACTCACCCTTAACATTGACAAAACGTTTTATATTCTGTTTGGCAATAAATCCTCTAATCAGATAAATCTCAAAATAAACAATACCCAAATTTGTAACAAATTAGATGGCAAATTCCTTGGCTTTCTCATCGACCACAAGCTGAATTTCCAGGGTCACATTCTAAATATATCAAAGTTTCAAAAACTGTTGGCATTCTTTCTAAGATCAGATATTATGTACCCCGCCCTGCCCTGGTTACTCTATTACTCCCTCATCTATCCATACCTCAACTATGGTATTTGTGCTTGGGGTTCTACTACCCAAAATCATTTACGTCCTCTCATTACCCAACACAAAGCTGCTATTAGGACAATAACCAACTCTGGCCCCAGACATCACTCGGTACCCTTACTCAAATCTCTGAATATGTTAGATATTAAGTCACTGCACATTCTCTTGTGTATTATACATATATAAAACGCTGAACTGTAATGCCAATCCTGACCTCAAAAGCTTCATTGAAGGTTGTAACAGAACCCATGAGCACCACACCAGGAATAAATACAGTTTTGATATTCCTAGAGTACGACTTAATCAAACTAGAAATGCTCTACAAATCAAGGGACCCAGAATGTGGAATGACCTAACCAACCATGTTAAAGACTGTACCTCTCTCAACCAGTTTAAGATAAAAACTAAACACTACCTAATAAACTCCCTGTAACCCACCTCGCTCCTTTGTCAACCCATGTCTGTTATTTTTTTTTTTTTTTTAATAAACACTGTCAACCTATTGTATTTGTGCTGTTTTTTCAGTCATGTTCCCCCTTTTTTTTATCTTTGTATTTGTTTTCAACACTTTTTATTCTTTATGCTCAATTAGTATTAAGTTCTAGATATTAATGTTTTTCTTGCCCGAAACGCATTGCGTACTAGTGGCTTTAGGCATTGTATGTACTAGCTCTATCTATATATCAATCCATTAATGTAACATCACTTGTATGTATGTACCTTACCTGAATAAACAGTTAGTCTTGGCATAGGCTTCCAGCTAGCTAGTATCAAAGACAAGGATAAGGAAGACATCATAAAGAGCATTATCGTCAGAAGAGTTTACTTGTTAAGTTAGTTTATTTATTTAAATACATGTGCATTTAACTTTAAATGATAATCCGGCTTGACTAAGACTTGCATAATGTCCAGGAATTTTTATGAAACTAAATATTTTTGTTAGGTGGGATCCAGTTCCTGTTGACGAGCATCGGCGAGAGAGGCGCCACGACCTGGTGGTCGCCCTGGTACACTGTCCTGCAACAACTGGTCTCGCACTGAAGGGTCAGTATGGCTTGTTTTACTTCATTGTCATACAACTCAAATTGGTAGATTTTAAGTGCAGGTTACTCATAAGGTTTTCAGCGGCTATAAGTCGATTTAAATGTTGCGATAACTTTATCATTTTAAGGAATATATTAACTCTTTCCTCCCGTGCCCAGGTTCGGGTGACCACAGCCAGACAGCGGGGAGAGCGAGGACTGCCCCGGGTCCTGAAGAACATCTATAACGACGGTATAAAGTGGCACCACATGGACTCGTCTGACATCAGCCTTTTGGATTTTTTCTTTGCCAGAAAATGGCCTACTTTACTCTATGGTAAAGTTGTAAAAATAAAATATAAATTCAAATTAGCTTGTTATACTTTACAGCCACCTCGCGAGGTGGTGTACAATGAATGACTTTTGTCCTGTTTGGCAGTGTATTACTTGGTATCTTGAAGAAACATGAACGCTGGCTTGACTTTAGTATTCCAAAATGCATTTTACAAGTTTTAATATTCATTCAAATTGGTCAACTAAATTACTTGTTGCGTATATTTTAATATACCCAGAACTGCATTCTGTACTGCAGCCCAATATAGTACTAGTAAATTTATCTAAACTAGTACACAAATGCCTATTTATAGATGGAACACTTAAATTTCTAGTTTTAGGAAGATAAGGGAAGGGAGGGAGCAGGAATGAAGTTTAGCATGAAACGCAGACAAAATATTTTCATTTTAAACTTAAGATATGTACTGTAAAATTATTACAACTTGGAAGAAGACGGTGATGCACGGATGTAAAGTGTCGAGCTTGTTCCATCAACAACTTTTAATTTTGTGAACCAAGATTTTTACATTAGTAATGGATATCTTTTTCATTTTGTTCTTGTAGGTCTGCCAGTAATGGGTTGACAAAAGTAACGTCAGCCTCATGAATTGCAGATTACTGAAACCTCGCTAGCTTTAGTTTGTCGCCACCTACTTAAGGGCAGTGATCCGCATTTTGAGAAGCACTGAGACAAGAGTAAGGAATGCTTGGGCTGTCACCTGAACAGAGAAATGGTTTCGTGAACACTGCTGCTGGGCACCTGCATTTTCTTTATTAATCCCAACAAGTTTTGGAGAAAAAAAATAAATCTTGTTCCACTAGTCTATCTTGAGCTACACGTTTTCAGTCTGCTGCTGATGACATAGTTTTGTAGGAGCTAAACACTAAATTAACAGTACTGTAGATCTCTTGGAAGAAAGTGGTTAGACGTATCTGCCACATAAATGGACAAGCAAGCCCAAAATTAAAATTCTTATATAAATGAATACATAGCCTTCCCGGTTTGGTGCCTTCTTTTGATAATTACTTGATAATTATTTATTTAAATAAATGAAGCAGTAGGACAATGTTTAAAGGCTAATGATGGTGCCTTGTTTCAATAAATACTTCAAGCTAGGAAAGTTATGTAGCACGATAAAATCTGGAATACTCTCACGGGTGCTAAATAACTCTGGATGCCATAACACACACAAGGTGAACAATATCAAAGGTATGATTCAAAAAGAATTCTATCCCGGTTCAAGTGACCGAGAGGAACGGTCAGGAAGCAATACACACACTCGTCCTGGGAGTATGGACACTCGGCAAGGATGTACATGGCCGAAAGAGAATGCAGTTAGGAAAAAAAAAAATGGAGCGCCGCCCCGCTCGTTAAGTGCCCGTGAGTTACGCGTCTGTGGCCAGCATCACCAGAACAGTTTGCCAGCAATGGTAGGAGGAAGGTCATGGGGAGAGACTACCCCTAATTGCCCCTCCATGGAGTCTTGATGAGGGGCTCGTTGGGTTCTACCTCTCCTCGTCCTTCCCACCTTATTCGGTCTCTCAACCGCTTCAGGCCTCCTCCCCCTGTACCTTTATGTTCTGTCCTGAAGGGTCCCCCCCCCCTCATGGTTCTCCATCTGGAGTTTTCCCCCCTTTCCTACCCAGTCTCCTGTGTCTTTCCCATCTCCCCCTAATTCTTCTTCCCAACCAATAAACATGTATTTTATTTTATTATTTAGTTATTTAATTAATTTTATTTTAATTTTATTATTTTATTTTTATTTTATTACTTTTTATTTTATTTTATTTTAATTTTATTTTTAATTTTATTTTTAATTTTATTTTTAATTTTATTTTAATTTTATTTTAATTTTATTTTAATTTTATTTTAAATTTTATTTTAAATTTTATTTTAAATTTTATTTTAAATTTTATTTTAAATTTTATTTTAAATTTTATTTTAAATTTTATTTTAAATTTTATTTTAAATTTTATTTTAAATTTTATTTTAAATTTTATTTTAAATTTTATTTTAAATTTTATTTTAAATTTTATTTTAAATTTTATTTTAAATTTTATTTTAAATTTTATTTTAAATTTTATTTTAAATTTTATTTTAAATTTTATTTTAAATTTTATTTTAAATTTTATTTTAAATTTTATTTTATTTTAAAATTTTATTTTAAATTTTATTTTAAATTTTATTTTAAATTTTATTTTAAATTTTATTTTAAATTTTATTTTAAATTTTATTTTAAATTTTATTTTAAATTTTATTTTAAATTTTATTTTAAATTTTATTTTAAATTTTATTTTAAATTTTATTTAACACGGTGGAGATAGAGAAAACGGCAGCAGAGAGGCAACCGACCAGCGAGAAATCAACAAACAGACGCTCTCGCAGCCCTTCATACAAACAAAAAAGTTGGTGGGTCTTGGTGTGCCCTCAACCCTGGTGGGCAGCTGGCATCAAATCAAATCAAATGTTTATTTAGGTAAAGTACATACATACAAGGGGTGATACAGATTGATATTTATAGATAGAGCGAGTACATACAATGCCTAAAGCCACTATTACGCAAAGCGTATCTGCTCTGCCGGAGGGCACCGGATGACTTGCGTTGGGGGGCCGAGTTTCATCTTATCCGAGAGGCGTCGTAGTGTCTGGTTATGGGCGTCATTCGTTTCGCCGTTAGGATTTGCGATTAACCCTTTACGGGTATGGCGGGGCACATCTGATCCCAAGATCATCATCGCCTCTTAATTCATAACATCATCATCATCAAGAAGAAGCTCTCGCACCCTCCTTGGGTTTGTACAGTTTTAGAATATATGTGTATTATTTGCATTTGCTTAACTGCAGCGGAGTTAACTTAATTCAGTCTCTGTGGTGTAGTGGTAAGACACTCGCCAGGCGTTCCGCGAGCGCTATGTCATGGGTTCGTATCCTGGCCGGGGAGGATTTACTGGGCGCAATTCCTTAACTGTAGCCTCTGTTTAACGCAACAGTAAAATGCATACTTGGATGAAAAAACAATTCTTCGCGGCAGGGGATCGTATTCCAGGGACCTGCCCGAAACGCTACGCGTACTAGTGGCTGTACAAGAATGTAACAACTCTTGTATATATATCTCAAAAAAAAAAAAAAAAAAAAATTGTTCAGTTGCTAGGGCACTAAAGCATTGAATGGCTGTAGTTCTGGGTCCACTGTTGTAGCTATTGCTCATATATATTATTTGAGGACATAGCTGCAGTCCCTGTGGCATAGTGGTAAAACACTCGCTTGGCGCTTCGCAAGGGCTTTGGCCTGGGTTTGTAACCTGGGCGGGAAGGATTTACTTAGCGCCAATCCTGAACTGTAGCCTCTGGTTCACCTAGCAGTGAATAGGTACCTGGTTGTTAAACAATTCAGCGGGTCATACTCAGGGGAAAAATTAGGAATAAGGACTTGCCCAAAACACTATGGATGTGAGTGGCTGTACAAGAATGTAAGGTTTCTTGTAGTATATAAAAAAACTACTAATCCATTTTGTACTGTAATTGCCCTTGTTTTAAATGTTATATGTTTTTATTTGTTTTGTAATATGAAAAAAGGATCATGACAATCTTGGATCAAAAGATACATATTACTTAGTGAAATATTTTGGGGCATAATTTGTGTTATAATTCTATGGTATACATTGTAATACAAAACCTTAATGTATTTTATTTATTCCAGATTGGCAGTGCAATAGACCCTAACAACACAATGGATAGGGCGAGTTCATGTTGACATAGTTGAGTAACAAGATTCTGACATGTAATTGGTCTCTGTGATATCATGGAGGGAGGCAGTATCAGTCTTGAGATTTTAGTGTTACTAAAGAAAGCAGGTTAGTTACTAGAGTTGCACTGGTGAGTCAATTGTTATTGATCCTCGAACCTGTGGTGCTTTTTGTATTATTTATTCCCTCAGAATGTTTCCATTTACATAGACTTGTAAAACTACATAGACTTGGTTTGGTGGGTCCTTGATGACGTTT